CTCTCTCTCTCTCTCTCTCTCTCTCTCTCTCTCTCTCTCTCTCTCTCTCTCTCTCTCTCATGTGCGCATGTGTGCACATCAACCGCGCGCAAACCTGTGAACCCAATCACCGGCTCACTCCTGGATTTCGGCCCGCTGGCCCCTCCCGCCCATACTCACCAATTTCACCGTTTCACGGGGACCACAGCCCACGGGCAACCCAGGGCAGTTCCCAAAAAAAAACAAAAAAAACACAGGGTGCTGGGCGCTACGACGTGGCGGACTACACTGCAAATCTCCAACTTCCCAGCGCTACTTTTCTGGTCACCCGAGCTTCGACTGCAATTCAAACTTCGGCCCTGTCTAAACTGCTAAAACGCAGTTTGAAATGCAATTGCAAACTGCAAACCCTGACTGCGCTGTAGTTTTCTCTGTTCTTTTTTTTTTTTTTTTTTGTGCAAGGAAAATGAGCGATAGCGAACTTCAGAAACCAAGCAGCATCATACACATCAGACAAGATAGTCGTGACCACGAACTGCAGAATTGCAACACGAGTTCCACCAAATAAGATCACACAGCAAAAGCTCATAAGTGACAATGTTGGAATATTCTCGTCATCATCAACAAAGAACCAATGTCGACATCCTATCTGGTGCTCTGCGCCCAGACTACAAATGGCAGATCCTATCTAGCCTATCTACAATGCCGCTGGTGACGTCTACAGCTCCCCGAAGTACGAGCAGATCTCGGCCAATGCCGTTCGCCTCAAGCACCAGGTATGTCTCTGGTATCACTCACAACCTCGATATTCCACTCACAGATGCCACGTGCACCCAAGGACCACCATGCGCCCCCCCATCTAGCTATGCAGTGCAGCTGGGCTATGGCTGCCTGCCCCTCCCTGCTCGCCCGTGAGCGCGTGAGCGCTGGCCAGCATTAACGCAGCAGCGCGGCCAGCGCCTGCACAGCATGCAGCCAGTGCCCAAATGCCGAATGTCGAGGCAGGCCCTTTCCTATATCCAAGTAGCCTGCTGCTGCGTGCGGTAATGCGGTACTGGGACCCGGCCCGGAAGCTTCCGGTAGGCCACGAGAGGCTCAACCTCAGTCCAGATAGATCAGCCCAAGGCCTGAGGTGGTTACCTGCGCCCAACTGCCCTCAGCCTGTGTTCGGTCCATGTTGTGTATCCGGCCCAGGGCCTGCCTCAGTTACATGTGATAAACGGCAGCCTGGGCCTGGGCGCTTCCAACCAACTGGCGCTGCCCAACTTCCTGAATTTGCCCTCAGTTCGGTAGTAGTCCAAAATAGGCCGAGGTCGGGCCTGCCTTCACTTAGGGCGGCCGACCTTGCTGATAACAGGGCCCAGTAGGGCTTATCAAGGCCTTGTGCCTCGCATTCCCTCCTCCATACTTCGACAGTCCTCTGAGAAGTCTAATTATTCAATCTGGCGCTTTCCTTTCTGCAATGACTTCTCGTAGTGAGCGAGTCTGCATCAATTCCTCCCATGTAAACCATATGACTATGACTGTATGAATCTCCCACAAAGGCGGCCGTGGGCGGCCATGGCTGCGGCCACGTGGTAGCCAGCTGGGGGGTGGGGGGCGGGGTTTTCGGAAGTGGATTGGGGTTGCGCAAACCCCGCCCCACCCCCTCGCAGAGAAAAAAAATATAATAAAAAACAATTTTCGGGAGGGGATTTCATGAAGAAAGTTAAAAAAGAAAAAAAAAATAAGAAAAACTGGGCATTTTGTTTTTTTTTTATTGATTGTCAATGATTGATTGATTGATTGATTGATTAATTGGTGGGGGAGGGGTTGGTTCCCCCCCCCCGCACCACCCCTCACACATACACACACACACACGGTCCGCGGTCAAGGAAAAAAAAAAGAAAAAAAAAAAAAAAATTCAGAAAAATCGGAAAAAGCTATGTGTTATGCCAAAAAATAAACTGAGCAACTTTTAACTTGGGGTCATATCAAAACTCGTTACCAAATTTGAGATAAAAAATAAACAAAATCCTTTATTTTTCTTACTAAAAGAATAAAGTGAAGAACTTTTTCCTGAGGGATTTCTGTTTTTCATTTTTTTTTAAATTGAAAACGAAGTCAAAAAATAAAACTAAACATATATGCTTGTAGAGTGCAAAACAACCTACAACCCCATATTTTTTGTTTTTTTTTTGGCCTATTATCCTAGGAATTAAAAATGTCGGGGTTTTCCGACCGCGGCCCTTGCCCGCAGCCGACCTCGGCGGTCGGGATCCCGACCGCGGGCCGAGATTGACCCCCCGGTCATGACCGCGGGGGATTCATAGACGCCATCCCAAAGGAATATGCTGAGCCGTCTGCGAGGAAGGGGCGGCCATCTTGGGTGAGTATGTTTGGATTCTCAAAAAGTTGTTGGGCTAGGACTTCCTCTTTCGTGCGTGGCAGGGTTGGAACATCCGGGGGAAGATCTCTCCAGGCTCTTATGATAGCTCTCCAAAACTTAGACTTTAGGCGTTTCCTTCTGAATGATTCCATAAAGAAGCAAACCCAAACATCTTCTGGTCTGCTTAAACCCCATTCCCTCATCAACAGTCTTTCAGCTAGATCTACCCAGTTTTCCTTCGAGTATGCCATTGCCACTTTACACAGCCAGCTTCTCAGCTGTGCTTTATTCTTCCTTGCAGGGTCCCACTTTCCAAGACCTCCCTCCGGGCGTGGGAGCGTGATCAGTTCCCATGCCACCTTGGTTATGAAACCTTCCTCCTTCTTTGATCTCGTTTTCCAGAGAAAACGGGCCACCAACCTCCGTACTGCAGCTAAGACTTTCCTCCTCTTACGAACCAGAGGATTGAGAACAAGGCGACGTTGGCTACCAAGGCCCGATCAATCAATGAGAGGTGCCAGGCTGAGCCCCACAGATTCAACCTTGCTGCTATCCTGCTTTGGAGAAGTGTCCCTTGCGCGGAAGCTTCCACTTGGAGACTCACCAAAACTCCCAGGAATCTTTCCTCCTCTCCCTCCGCAATTCTCTTCATACCCCACTCAAGTTTTAGTTCAAACTGGCTTGGCAGCAAATAGGTGGATTTGGACCAATTCACCGACGCCTCGGATAGAGTGAAATACTCGGTCATCATTTCCTTCAGCGCTGTCAAGGCCGGTACCGTGTTCTCGCAGACTGTGAAGAGATCGTCTGTTAGGGCTTTAACCCTACACTCTTGAATCGTTCAGGGACAACCCGCGAATTAGTGGGTGTTGCCTTATACGGTTAAGCAGCACCTCCATCTAGAGGACAAAAAGCAGGGGTGCTAGCGGGCAGCCTTGACGCAGTGATCTTGTC